CAACGCGCCGGGTAAGATTGACCACAGAAGCGGCGGGGTGTAAGTAAGTTACTCCGTTTGTTATGGAGAAAGGTACGCAAGTACAGTAACTACAAGTTACATAGGAATAAGTAACTTCCATAGTATCAATCGCCGCAATTTCTCTCCCTTTATCGCCTCGCTTCATGATCATCCTGTCATAAGATCGGCGCGCGACTCTTCCCAATATCCTTTTTCTATGACAATCCATCTGCCATGTATGAGTATCAATATTTCCAACAAGCGGTCGCACACATCGTCTGCATTTATAAGGTACTTCATAGTGCAAGAGCTTATACCTACCGCGGGCTTCGATAAATGGCAGGGCACGCTGCACTCGAGCGGAGATTTCCTCCTCCTCGATAGGTAGGGGAGAATTACCTGCTGAAAATCGTAAGAATTATGCACGAGTGTTGTTTAGAATATTTTTTTTTCGCATTATTCTGGAGATTAAATCATATACAGTCAATATTCTGAGACATCCGACTAGTGGAGTGTTGTGTGTTTATGCCATGATCATTGCAGATAAGCAAGTACTCGGGAGACAATCCCGATGCTTATTTTGTAACTGCAGTGGACTTGTCACCAGTTTAAAATAATACTCTTGCAAGTATGCAGACTAGTCTCGAGTACAGTGGGCCCAGGTTGAGTAGGGAATGCTGGAGATACCGGATACGTGGCTGGTTTGTAATATGCTAATATTGATATGAAGTATTTTAGGAATTTATATTTCGGTTTACCGTTGGCACACGTTACCCTCTGCATCCATACCCATTAAGTTGGAAGTACATATATAAGAGTATATAGTATGTTTATGAAGTTAGAATGCTATCATAGTCCTTAGTACGGAAGACACGGTTTCACCAGCAAAATGAATTGAAGACAAGCGAGTCAAATACAGTATACTAGCTGAAGGGGTTTAATGTTTCGCCACCCAGCCTGAGTTAGTCTGCGAAGGAGTCCGTAGACTATTGGAGTATACGCTGCGAAATATGACCGCCCCCACCAATCCTTCGAAATGGCATCGTGACCCCGCCATTGTGAGAGGGGTCTTCACCCCTGCTTGAAGATGTCTCGTTACTTAGCTAGTTAATTTGATAACTAACTAACTTATTGGTGCTTAGTCAAGCGCGTTGGCATGAACCCTGATATCAATTCGCAAGCCCAAGTTTATGCCGCATATACAGTATCAATGGTTAAACATGCCTCCTGTTGTCCTCAGCATCATACCCCCACAGTCATAGCCTTCGGCGCTGTATCAAGATGTGATGCTGAGGTGTGTCCGCCCTGCGAAAACCTGGTACCGTATGATGGTCTGAGATGTGATGAAAGGGCACGGTGTTAACCCGATGTTGATTACCATTGTTGGACGAAATCGACATGTGATGTTTGCCAGCGCCTTTGGGGCAATTGTTTGATCGAGCTATCTCTTCATCAGAGGTGGAAAAGAAGGAAAGGATTGACCGATCAGCCTATCTGCCTGGCCACCTAAAGTACATCTTACTAAGAAAGTTGCTTGGTGATTAAAGGTAAAAATATAGAAATCATAGCTTCAATTACTATACATAAGTATAAGGAGCATGTTTATAAATCGGGTTCCTTAAGCAAAATATGTCATCTAACAATTGTGGTTTTTCTAGCAATTCTTAAGTTGTTTCACTAGGTTGTCTGTAGGTTCAGCGCATTTAAAACCCCATCAGTTCAGTAGATGATTGTTGTTATTATTTAATATAGAAATTGACATATACTAAATGTCTTCAGCTGTGTAGTGACCATAACCGGTGGCTTTGAGTTAACTCAGCCCTGGAGCCCCAGTCAAACTTCAGCACCAGTGATTTGGAAAGGCGTTATGAGTACTTGTACATAGTTTCCTGATAGAGAATCTGTTATACTCAGTAGACTGCATATGGAGTCTCGTTATTTTCAGAGCCTTGTGCCGTCACAGAAACAGAAAGGATCTTCTGATCGACCCACCGGTGCACCGCCTTGTGCTGTGTCACCGACAATCCGGTCAAGTTCAAATGATTACTCCAGGTGTGTGTCTGCCGAGGGAGGGGAGGGGGGAAAAAGGAAAGGGGGGAGGTGGGGATGTCTTGGTACGTAACTTATAGATAAACATACTACTCCGTACTAGCAGGAGGAGAAGGTAGAAGAAACTTCGAATGGGAGACCATGCCCTATTGTGCCCCCGGGGGGGCACCCCTTCCCCCTTTCTCCATTTGAGCTTGTAAAGCCTATTAAACCTTCGTCTAGGTGGTAAAGACCCAAATGCTTCTGATACGACACTATCCGAGTACTATATTAGGGGTCGCATTTCTGTAAGCAGAAGGCTTTGCATACAGCTAAAATAGGTATCCCCAAAGAGGTTCAGTTTAGCCAAGCAATCATACAATTGTCTACCTCTTGGTGTGGTGATATTGACCTTTATTGAATTGAAAGGGCGAAATAAGTTAAGTTACAAGGTCTTACTTAGTCAGTTTTTAAGCTAGCGACTTTACCTACCACGGCACAAATCGGCACTAAAACGCCAGTGGCCTATTATTAGAAAGCTATGTTTAGAGGACTGTGGCGGCGTGGCCCTCTAAATAACCCAGTACTTGAAACTATGTGATGAACTTTTAGCTGTACGGTACTACCAATAGACTGCTTCTACTCAGACAAGATACTCAGACCATAGCCATGTGGTCGAGACCTTGACCTGCTCAGTCTAGTCGATTCAAAACCGGGTACTAGATTTTCATCACTTCGAACGGTGGAGTAGAACAACTAGGAGAGTCCCTGCAATACGGAGTAGATACAGTATGGTTTCATATTGTTCGGCAATCCTCCATAACCTACATATATAATACCGCGGGGAAGATGCCAACATTACCCAGCGGTTGTCCAGAGCTGAGTCACGGGTGAAACATACCAATAGACCGTGTGAGGCGCAGAGAGTGGGCTTATTGGCTGCCACCTCATTTGATAAATGGTTGTGCCCTGGAGTGCCTGTAGTAGCTTCCCTGGTCTGTGTGCTAATTGTGGGTCAATCTTACCACATAAAACATAACAGCTCCCCCTCCTTCCGACCTTCATTGTTTGTTGCTCCCCTTCAGTTACTACTACTAATAGCCTTCCACTTCTACCTACTCTATTTATCCCTCACCTTTCCGAATCTTCCTTTCTCACTACCCTGGCCATAGCCGTCTCTTCCGTCAACAAGGTCCTGATTCTATCTCAACCAAAAGATACTGGCAGTGTATGTTGGAAGCGCTTTGAAACATCTCCCCCGCACGCCCCTATCTGTTGTTTGCGCCTCGAAGAATAACCGCTCGGTCTAACATGCTCTCCACAGTAGACATCCATCGACGAAATTTGACCAACGCCTGAGTCGAGTGCATTTCCAACCGAAAGACAATATCACCTAGATCTTTATCACGTTCTGTTTGGACCCCAACCATGTGGTATGTTCTGCTTTCTTGATAGTGCGGGCCGAGCTGCTCTAACTTGAATGTACTGCTTAGTGGCATTTTCGGATACATTAATTACCTCGTTGAGAGGGACCGCAAATACATCCTCGATACTTTGCTCAATGGTCAGTTTCCCTGTACCTGGTGGATCTAGTATCGTGCCATCCTAACGCTGCATAGGTCTATCGAGACTTGAATACCGCGGATACGACTCTGCGGGACTTGCAATCGATGGTGACAAGAAGAATGAAGTCTGTGCCTTTAAAGAGGTTGGCAAGGTTGCAAAGTTGAAAGAGCTTATCGCAGAGTCGAAACCCGACCTTACTAAGACCTTTGAATCTCATGCTGGTATCTCTCATACACGCTGGGCCACCCACGGAACACCATCTCGTCAGAACTGCCACCCACATAGGTATGTCAATCGTCCCCGGCTGCTTTCTGGTTCTTTGGCTAAAGCATACGACTGTCCTCCCGGGTGCATAGGTCCGACTTGAACTGGGAGTTCGCTGTCGTTCACAATGGTATCATCACCAACTATAAGGAGCTTAAAGCTCTACTGGAGAGTAAAGGCTTCCGGTTCGAAACAGAGACGGACACTGAGTGCATCGCCAAGCTCACGAAATATCTTTATGACCAACAGCCAGACATTGAGTTTACAGTACTGGCCAAGGCTGTTGTTAAGGAGCTTGAGGGTGCATTTGGTCTTCTCATCAAATCCGTGCACTACCCTCATGAAGTGATCGCTGCCCGTAAAGGGTCTCCCTTAGTCATCGGTGTCCGCACATCCAAGAAAATGAAGGTTGATTTCGTGGACGTCGAGTTCTCCGAAGACGGTGCCCTTCCGGCTGAGCAGGCTTCTCAGAATGTAGCCATCAAAAAGTCCGCCACCGGGCTCCTCGCTCCTCCTGACAAGTCCCTTCTGCATCGTTCTCAGTCTCGTGCTTTCCTGTCTGACGATGGTGTCCCCCAGCCGGCAGAATTTTTTCTGTCTTCCGACCCATCGGCGATTGTCGAACATACCAAGAAGGTTCTTTATCTTGAAGATGATGATATAGCTCATATCCACGAGGGCCAGCTCAACATTCACCGTCTGACCAAAGATGATGGAACCTCCAATGTCCGCGCCATTCAGACAATCGAACTCGAGTTGCAGGAGATCATGAAAGGGAAATTCGACCATTTCATGCAAAAGGAGATTTTTGAGCAACCAGAATCCGTGGTCAACACCATGAGAGGCCGACTGGATGTTGCGAACAAGCAGGTCACGCTCGGCGGGCTTCGACAGTATATTTCTACCATTCGGCGGTGCAGAAGAATCATCTTTGTTGCTTGCGGAACGAGCTACCATTCGTGTATGGCTGTGCGTGGAGTTTTCGAAGAGCTTACTGAGATTCCTATCTCCGTTGAGCTTGCCTCCGATTTCCTAGACAGACAGGCGCCTATTTTCCGCGATGACACGTGTGTCTTTGTTTCCCAATCTGGAGAGACTGCGGATTCACTTATGGCACTTCGGTATTGTCTCGAAAGAGGTGCCTTGACTGTCGGTATTGTGAATGTTGTGGGTTCCTCTATCTCGCTCTTGACCCATTGCGGTGTTCACATCAATGCGGGTCCTGAGATTGGCGTTGCTTCAACCAAGGCTTATACCTCACAATTCGTGGCCATGGTTATGTTTGCCCTTTCGCTGAGCGAAGACCGCGCTTCCAAGCAAAAGAGACGCGAAGAGATCATGGAGGGACTTTCCAAAATTTCCGACCAGTTCAGAGAGATCCTGAAACTTAACGAGCCTATCAAGCAAATGTGCGAAAAGTTTTTCAAGGACCAGAAGAGTTTGCTTCTGCTTGGTAGAGGTGGCCAATTTCCTACGGCCCTTGAAGGTATGCCTTGTGACTCTGGGGATCGCCATATGGTGCTTACTGATATCTTTCAGGCGCGTTGAAAATCAAGGAAATCTCCTACCTCCACTGCGAAGCTGTCATGTCGGGTGAATTGAAGCACGGGGTTCTTGCTTTAGTCGACGAGAACCTGCCAATCATCATGATTCTCACCAGAGACAATATCTTCATCAAGTCTTTGAATGCTTATCAGCAAGGTAAGTACAGCCGCCTTCCCGCACCTGAAATTATCATTCCTTGGCATATAGGCCCTTCAGGATAGACTGACCATATGATAGTTATCGCCCGTGGAGGTCGCCCTATCGTCATCTGCAACCACGATGATCCGGAGTTTTCTTCAGCTCAGACGGAGAAGATTGAAGTCCCTAAGACAGTCGACTGTCTCCAAGGGCTTATCAATGTCATCCCGCTTCAGCTCATCGCTTATTGGCTTGCGGTCACAGAGGGTTTGAATGTTGATTTCCCTCGGAACCTGGCCAAATCGGTGACCGTCGAGTAGTTTGACTATGTGGTCTTATCAGTACACAGCAAATAGGGCCATGTTGTTCTGTTTTCTACCATAGCCTTCATACAAATGACTACAATTTTTTCTAACGACAAAAGATGCGAGCGCTGGAATAAAGTATTCGTCTATCTTCGAGGATGATTTCTGCGTAGCTTGCCTTTAGATATATGCGAGCAATGAGCTCATTGCCACTATAAGGGCCCTCCGGATTAGCCAAGATGGCTTGATACCACGTATATCAAAGCTTGCAAACGTACGTAGTAACACTATGGAGTGGCTTAGCGGGGCCGGTTCGGACCCCACTTCCGGATCCCAACCGCAAACGGCCAACTTCCAGTTCGCTGTAAACTCTACACCTCGTCCAAATAGTCTCAAAAATACAACAGAGTAACTAGATTACAGATCACAATCCTCAGCTCAACGCAAACATGACTACAATAAAAGGTCCAGGAGCCGCACAGGTACACAACGGTGAGGGCTACCCAACTTCAGCATTTTGCACATGCCCTGTTGCTTGACACTAATCCCTGTAGGCTCGGGGCTCAGGATTGCAATCGTTCACGCGCGTTGGAACATGGAGATAATCGGCCCTCTTGTTGACGGGGCCAAACGAAGCCTCCTATCAGCCGGAGTACTGGAGGAGAATATATCACTGCATACCGTTCCAGGCAGCTATGAGTTGCCCTATGCCGCGCAGCGGTAAGCGAGCGTTAATGAAAGCCAACTGTTTTTTCGGTATTAGTTCCTCTAATGCTGTACTCCTAGGATTTTTGCCGCCTCACAGATTCAAGCTGCCAGAAGCTCGGCTTCTGCTCAGGCCATCAGTGCCACGGACTTGCTTTCTTCTTCATCTGCAGACCTTGCAAACCAATCTACTCAACCGCCATCTACTGATACGCCCCAGCCATTCGATGCCATAATTGCGATAGGTGTTTTGATCAAAGGGGAAACCATGCATTTCGAATACATTGCCGATGCTGTGACTCACGGACTGATGCGCGTCCAGCTGGAGACGGGCGTGCCTGTCATATTTGGTGTACTTACTGTACTGAACGAGGAACAAGGTCTGGAAAGAGCCGGATTGGGTAAAAAGGGCATGCATAACCATGGCGAAGATTGGGGCAATGCAGCCGTGGAACTCGGAGCAAAGAGAAGAGACTGGGCTGAAGGCAGAAACATTTAGGGTGGATCAAGCGGTTGACAAGTTATATGGCCCGACTTGGAAAGAACCTCTTCCTGTTCTTACTCAAGGGTTACAATCGATGAAAATTTTAGCAGATGAAGCCTTATTTACTAGATCGATGTCAAGGAAGGGCCATCCCGTTTATCATAATAGGCTGAGATATTGAGGAGAAGCCCTTAATTCTCGCAGAAATTGCCTACTCATCTATTGATTAGAACCTGAAAACTTCACTCTTGCATGCGTTCGTTGTCGATGGCGTCGCCCTTCGCCGCATCATCTTCATCGTCATCTCCCTCGAGAGCCGCTTTTGCCGCCCGCTCAGCTTCTTCAAGCAGCTCCTTGGGTACCTCTTCGTGTCTTCCTTGCGTGGGACCATCTAGTGAACTAATCCAAGTCATTTCGAGTTCAAAGTCCTTGTCCTTACTGTCTTCATGGGCGACGTAGATAATGCGAGCTGCCTCTTTCACGCCATCAATGAGACTGAGATTGCCGGCACTCAGGTCCAGTTTCTCCAGCTCAGCCTTCGCCGCCTGTCTGCCCTTTCCAGTTGCGGCGCCATAGTAACCCTTTCACATTATTAGCATGTATCATCAACTCAAAACCCTGCAGCCAGGTGGTCTTACCCAATACAGACCACTCGGTTCGATCATGTATAAGCCTGGACCTCCGGCTTTTGCACCCTCAACCTTCCCGCCAGAACCTGCTTTGGGTCCGCTTCCAACTTGACCGTCAACCGCAAGCTCCGCTTCAGAGTCCCAGCCTCCGACAATAGCGGTCACTCCGAAGGGCCTCACGCTCGAATAGAGCGTGTAAGCCTGTACGTAGCTGCCGAGCCGGTTCGATAGAGCGGAGACCGGTATAGGTCCCTTGTAGACATTTCTCCACGAAGAAGCCTCGTCTCGAGCTCTCGAGACGAAATGCCGACCGTCGGGAACTAATCCTGCCGAGACCTACATCAACACCAGCGCACATGTTAGCATAAGCAAGTTTAGCAATGAGCTATACGGCTTTATCTAGGCACGAGGTGAACACCATACAATGCCGACATGGCGATCAACTGTTGCTATCCTCTTGTTCGCACCAGGCTTCAGAAGCTTGCTGCTGATAATCTTCTCCACCGCCAGTACAACACCGTCTTTGCATCTGATGCCAACGGCTGTTCCCCCATTTTCGACGGCTTTGACCGCATATTCTACCTGTAGGAAATAGTCAATGACTTGCCTAGCCCCCTGAATTACTTGCACAGGACTTTACCTGGAAGTTACGGCCATCGGGCGAAAACACCGAGTTCGAGAGATCATAGCCAGTACCAATAGATGTCTAGATTATAAAGGTGTCAGTTAGTAGGAGCAGGGTTGTCAGGAGTAAGCAGACAGCCTAAACGAACCATGGCGATTGTGAACAGTCGCAGAATTGGTGAGAATCGGGATGCAAGGATGTGGAGGAAGTGTCAGGTGTAGGTGGATGGTTACTGGGTATAAAGTGTGATGAGTCCGGGACAATAGATCTGGAAATTCGTGAAGAAAGGTATGGTGACTTCAAGCAAGTCGGCTGACGCGCGTAGTTCGTTACCTATGCCTAAGGTAGTACACTGGAAGGAGCTGCCTGGCCTTAGCTCAGGTCGCACGGACCACTCGTCGCTTTAGGGGTATACGAGTCACGTGGTAGCGTATCAAGTAAGATGACGTTGTCCCATGAGTGCATCTGGACAAAACTGTTTCCAAGCGAAGCTGAAAGTACAAGTAACCAAGTGCCGGACAGCCAATAACTTTCCAGGATGGCATGGTCATAGGTCGTAAAAATCTTTACTTTCTAATACCCACTTGTATACTTGTGGTTGTACAGTACCTTCACTATATTCAATCGTGAACTCCTCGGTAAATCTGATTCTCTTATCTCATATGCCCAACGAACCATGATCATTTGGGCATTGGGCAGCATGTGTTCTCACTGCCCGCTTCGTACCCAGTGCCTTATATATGTATCAATCCACTACTCCTGGTCTAAAACTGCGGCCGTCTCTCAGAAAGAAGCGACTTTGCTCAAAGGACAATCACGTTCTCTCCTTCCCTCCTATTCATATATGCATAACTGGGACTCCACCCGAAGCAGTTGCTTGATCTTCATCCACCGGGGCATTCTCGCACTTGAATCTTTTCCCCTGGAACAATAACTCTGCCATGGAGTCTATATTTCCTCCTCAGTGTCTCTTCTGCAGCCAGGGGACGAAGGGTTCCGAAACACTCGCCCCATTGACCGAACTTTCATGCTGTAGTCAGGTAGAGGGTCCAACACTGCTTCAAACTCAGCTCCTGACCAAAAGGGCTTGTAGTGCCGGCTGTCGGCATCCGAAAGTAACATGCAACTCCAGCAAGAACTCGCTGCGCTTTTCGAGAGGAGTATGACACTCGAAATATCAACACCCCTTGCCAGCGACCAATCACTATGCTCTGTTCCTGTTTCCCCCGACCCAAAGTTGTATGATATCAGGAAGAACCCGGCCAGCACTATGAATCTGCACCCCACAGCAAGTGACACACTGAGGTATCACAACATTGATCCATCAACACTTCTGCCAAGACAATGGAAGCTCTACGAAGGAGCAATGGCAGAACAACGGTCACGCCTAATCCAGATGTGGCAGTTGTCACCGGAGCACCGATACCACAGTGACCAGGGTAAGACCGAGGCTACCTGCATGTCTGATTCCTGGAGCACATCGTATGAAACTCGCACAGTTGATGATCTCGATATGTATGATTTGGACCAGGGCGTTGACCACAGCGTCAGCCAGTATGCCGAGCCATACATGATTAATGGCTATAGGGCTGTCGCTCAGAATGACAAAGAACACTCCAACAGAAGAGATGGGAGTGCAGCAAGCGAGTCCATGGCAGGATCGACATACAGGCTTGCAAATGATCCTGTTTATCGCTCCCAGGGCCAGAGATGGTGGGAGTATGTGCATTCGGCATCACCAAAGTACTATTATTGAGAATATGTACCGACGATTGCTTCTTGGGGGTGTAAATTCATCACAGCTAGCGATTATTGCTCACAATGTATCAGAAATCCGACCACTGTCACGGTCGATATGCCTGTGCACTCTTCTTTAGGGGCTCCGATTTTTTCGAATGCGCAGTCGGGAGGCCATCAAAAAATGACAGCGCAGCATAGATATAGAATACCACATATATCACAGGCCCATAACACAGATTCACCAGGCATGGTGTCTCTATGGCAATGTCATGTTGATATGATCTGAGCCGTGTAATGTTCATACGAAATTGATGGAGACCAGAAGAAGGAAGTTTTATTTTCTGACTAGTGCCATCCCACTGAACGAGTCGGGAAAATGGAGCAGAGGTTTATGCACATGCTAGAGCAAAATTTATACTATTTCTCCATCCTGCTGGATCATCCTGATATCATAACCCAAGGGTTGCCAAATGTCGTTCAACCCTCCGCCCCTTTCCTACTGGCACACAACTTCCTGGCTGCAAGAGTCATGGATAGGGTCATGATCTGAAGGAAGGGGAGGAGGAAAAGAAGGAAAGAACTTGACGCAACTACCACCACACAAGGAATGGACGGCACCGGAGAATCAAGTTAGAGAGTGACTCAGCCAATGCTACGTTCTTAGATCGTAGAGATTGCTGCTGGTTGGTATAACGTAAGCCCCTATGGTCGTGGCAGGAATGCCGTCAAGAAATTGCATATGTAGCATAAATCGGACCGAGCTCCAGAGAGAAGCGAAGTAGTAGCAAAAAACAGAATCGAGAGAGGAAAGAAACGTGTAGATGCCTTCCAGGCCCTGGAAGGGCAGAAGCCGTGGCCGGGAAAAGGTCACTTCAACATGCCACGCTGGGGCACACTACTCGTCATTGAGTGCTGCCATGGCCTCCGCAAGAGCATCAGCGGAGCGTTTGACCTCATCAACAGCCTCCGCGGCTCGCTTGATCTTCTGACATGGTTGGCCCGGCAAGTAGCACCATTTTTGCAACTTGGCTGGAGAAGCCTCTGCCATGGCCTCGGCCAAGGCATCAGCTGAGCGTTTGACTTCTCCGGTTACATCGGCCGCACGCTTTATCATGGCGCAAGGCTGGCCAGGGAGATAGCACCACTTTTGCACACTGACAGCTTGCACAGTAGTGGCAGCAAGAGTGGCAAGCATCAAGGATAGGAGCTTCATGGTGGCGGTTGAATATAGCAGAGGCAAAGAATGGTATTTTGTTGTATATGTTATTGAATGGACAAATAGGACAGATTTGCTTGTTTTCTGGCACCGCACAGACCATGAAATATGGAAGGGGAGGCATCTTATATATGAGTGACTTAAGCATAAAACATAACGAAAGGTGCTGCCATGATCGTTGAATAGGTGTTTCAATAGAATGGGCTTCTATTGATGAAACTGGTGGACCGCAGAATATGTTGGCGAAGGCAAGACTGATAGCCCTATTGCGAACAAAAAGGAAAAAGAACAGAAAGGAAGCATCAATCATGGAATATCAGAGAAAAGCCAATGGCATGGGCTAGAATGTATCTTGTCTGCTGTCAAGTACGCAAGAGGTTGGCGGGCTGATATTTTTGGCGGAAACCTGAATCTGGTACTAGAGAGGATTCGTATGGTAATGGCCAGCAGAGACTGTGAGTAGAGTGAAGAACTAAGAGTAGCATCGCACATTGCCTTGTGATTCTCGATATCCCGTTGTTCCAGTCGCTCGGTCAGGGCCTGAATAGAGATGAGGTTCAAAGGTGTGTTGAAGAGAACAAGACAATGATTGGCTAATCTTTTCCCAATTCAGCCCTCAATAAGTTCGAGTCGATTCAGCGGAAAGGAAATTTCACATTCAACATGCAGTCATTCAGATCCTAGAGAGATGTTGAACAGGTCAGATGTACAGTACCACGAACTGCGTCCATCTAGTATCCGGCGCCGGAATCCAAACGCGTTGGTCCAAGAAATGATAGAGCATTTATCAGCGCCGCAGGAGGAACGACACCGGCTACATTGGCTACTTTGGCAGTCAGCTCCGAAGTACTATTATGAAGGAGACGGTCAAAATTACCTTCTTGGCACATTCTCGTTGTATTGAGGAGAGATGCTCAATCTAATTACGTAGCCTGTCAGTTAGTTCAGGGTTAGCCAGCTCCAGCCAGGCACTAGGCAAGAGATAAGATCGGCCCGTGCTGTTGTCAGGGAAAAAGGAAAGGTCATGGTGGATGCCGAGACGATCCGCCCGTTTTTTCCGGTGTCTCGTGCATCTCTCCTCCCTCGCCTCGCTCTTTTCTTGCCGTCCTCCGTCTCTTTCTCCTTCCCGTCGTCCTCTTTGCCAAACCAGTGCTTTTCCGCGCCTCTCCTCTCCTTGCCCTCCTTTCTGCTCACCTCTGCTCCGCTAAGATGTTCACTCTCCGGACAGCGCAGCCTGCGCAGGTAAGTCAATGAAGAAAAACCATAAATCCTTGCTTTCTTTCTGCATCAGTTGTTCAATTGACTCCTTCGCACCCTTGCCTATTGGGCCGCACATCATTGCCTGCCGACCCAGCTCTTCAAACAAAGACTATGGGAATAGAGGGCTCCAGCCGGCTTTCTACAACTGGATCTTGTTCTTCTTTGCCTCTTCTGTTACGTTCTTACCCGTGAACAAGCTCAATAACTCGCCTCTCCCATTCGCCTTGCTACACTCGCCTATTAACGCTTCTGTGACAGTCTCTACTTCGTCGAGCTGCGGTGCCCACTCTTGCCCGCTCCTCTATTTCCGTTAGATGTGTGTCAACTCCTTCTAAGCCATCGACACGGTTTGCCAACAATTATCTGTGACTAACCTTCCGCCGCAAGCCTTTGCTAGCGTTCAGTCGGACATTTTCAAGCCGACCAAATATGGCGGCAAGTACACCGTCACACTCATTCCAGGTACTTTGACCCCGATTTTCTTCAAGTTATCGCTTCCTATACCTGGCTCCAGCCATCTTATTGCTTCGCTCGTCACCACCCTGTGTCGAATATTGACCTGCAATCAATTATTATCACAGGCGACGGAATTGGCGCTGAAGTTGCTGAGTCGGTGAAAACAATTTTCAAGGCCGACAATGTCCCCATTGAGTGGGAGCAAGTGGATGTTAGTGGTGTGGACACCGGCAACAAGCACTCGGAGGAGCTCTTCAAGGAGTCCATCGCGTCCCTGCGACGGAACAAGCTGGGTCTCAAGGGTATCTTGTTCACCCCCGTTGAGCGCTCCGGTCACCAATCATTCAACGTTGCTCTTCGTCAGGAGCTCGATATCTTCGCGTCGGTTGTCCTTATCAAGAATATTCCCGGTTACAAGACCCGCCACGAGAACGTTGATTTGTGCATCATCCGTGAGAATACCGAGGGTGAATACTCCGGCCTTGAACACCAGTCCGTTCAAGGTGTGGTGGAGTCACTGAAGATTATCACTCGTGCCAAGTCTGAGCGCATTGCCAAGTTCGCCTTTGGTTTCGCTCTTGCCAATAACAGGAAGAAGGTCACCTGCATTCACAAGGCTAACATCATGAAACTTGCGGATGGTCTATTCCGTAGCACCTTCCACAAGGTTGCTGAGAACTACCCAACTCTGGAGGTCAACGACATGATTGTTGATAACGCCTCCATGCAGGCTGTCTCGCGCCCCCAGCAGTTTGATGTGATGGTCATGCCTAATCTGTACGGTGGTATTCTCTCTAACATTGGTGCTGCCCTCGTTGGTGGTCCTGGTGTGGTTCCTGGCTGCAACATGGGTCGTGACGTCGCTGTGTTTGAGCCCGGATGTCGCCATGTCGGCCTTGATATCAAGGGCAAAGATCAAGCGAACCCCAGCGCCATGATTCTGTCCGGATCTATGCTTCTTCGCCACCTTGGCCTAGATGACCACGCGAACAGAATCTCTAAGGCGGTGTATGACGTGATTGGTGAAGGGTAAATTCGTTTCTCCCAGGGTCATTGCGGACTTTTGACTAACGCTTCGTCCATCAGTAAAACAAGAACCCGTGACATGGGCGGTCAGGCCACCACCCACGAGTTTACCAGAGCTGTTCTCGACAAGATGGAGGCTGCTCTGTAAAGAACTTTCTCTTTGAACTTGCTACTATTATGATGATGAGAGCTTGTATAGGCCTGTTCACCGTTAATCTATTCCTTATCTGGTAGACTATGCTCACTCCTGGTACTGTCGCTATATGTTCTATCATCCACATGTACACCACCATGTTGTCCTGCACAATACAAAGTCCTTGGACAAGATCGTAAAGCAAAGCACACAGGACGAATGTGACAAAAGTAAACAGCGACCCATGAAAGCTGACCAGCTGTCTACTAACCTGCATATTTGAACCCTCGACAGCAATCTGCTAATTTTGAGCTATAACCACTAGCAGCGGAACAAATGCCCAACAAGTGTGCGTAAACTCGGGGTCTCGGTGAGTCCGAACCGCGACTTGAAAGGAGCTGGTGAGAAGACCTGAAGGAAGAATGTCCAACAAAGCAAATTCCACTGCATCACATGTAATGCAAAAGCCAGGCAGATGTTATGCACCGTTTCCGTGCGTCGGGCCGGCTTTGATCTGAGCTGCTACTTTGACAGACTCGGTGCAACTAGCCGATGTGGCTAAGCCGTTGTTGATGCCACAATCTGCAGAAAAAATCTGTTTGTAACAATAAATGGTTTGATGTCCTGCGCGGAAACCTCGGGAAGGCCTCGGAAAATAGAATCAAAATGCAGGGCGCCGTTTTCTGCCGGTGTATTTCGAATTTGCTTTGACCACCTTGCCCTTCCGGGTCATTTGTTCTTTCTTACGCATAATCCAAGCCTTGTCGCCTTTCCGAGAGGGCTGTGCTCGCCCCTTTTCCGTGGCGCTTCTTCTGGCATCAAGGACGTCGACATCGCTCATGCCATTCACAATCCCGGTAATGTCACCCTGCAGCCCGCCGCCACCAACAGTGAGAACGAGGTACAACTTGCTGTTCTTCGTGCCGGGATCGTCTTCTAGGATACCTGCTCCGAAACCAGCCTTCATCGCGGCTCCACTGATCATGCTTCGCTGAGCATCATTCTTTGGGTAGAATTGACAGACTGCGCGGCCCCCGCGTCGAAGACTAGCATAGAGGCCCTCGAAAAATCTCCGTAATCGGCCCTCAGCGCTGACATCGCTCGATTCTGCATTGCACAGCCACTGAATTGCACTGATGCTGATCGCTGCATCTAGTGATCCGGCGCGCAATGGAACGCCTTGTCCGAGGTCTGATAGAAAAAGGTCTACTGCCTCATCGTCTTTCTCTAGACTAAGCTGTAGCATGGATGCCGAGACGTCAAGGCCGATGACTTGATGACCGGCCTGCGAGACGATTTGACTTGAAAGACCAGACCCACAGCCAGCGTCTAAGATAAGGGACGGGGTCCGTAAATCGAGCAGCTCAAGTGCTCTATGGCTCATCTCTGCTTGCACCTTTTTTACGCGACTTGAGGTATTATAACGACCGGCTTCGCGATCCCCATAATATAGATCCGGGGGTCTATAATAGTCATTGATGTTAGTATCAGGTAGAGGGAGACAGTGCTACAGAACATACAGGATGTCTTCAGGGCGCGACATGACGACACAAGTATCCTCTCTGTGGTAGAGCTGGCTGTTGTATCTTGCTGCCGATGAGGAGAAAAGTAGAATCGCTGGAAAAAATATTCCCAAGAATTAGACAGAAATGGGTGGTTGAAGTCAGATCTCTGTCCGCGGCACAGAAGAGAAAAAATGGAACCTCCCTGGCCGCCTGCGGGTCCGCACCTGCCGCCCGAATTCATGCAGCAAGTGTATGGAACTCCGCAACGACACGCATGCAGTATATCTATGCCAACTGCTTTCTTCCTCCTTTTCATCTTCAGTGACGGAGGTAGCTGATATTGATTTTCTCTATATGACCGCGAGGGCTCTCAAAGTCATTTTATCATCTTTATCCTCAGTCCAAGAGACCAAGCCGCTTGCTGTTGTGATCTGACCAAACTGTTCGAATCCCCTCGAGAGAACAAACAGACTCCAGCATCTCAGCCTGCGCCCACTGCGGCGCCACCTAACACAGATCATGTGGATTTTCCCGCTTGTAGGGTACTTGGGGGTGATCGTAGGATTTGCTTTCCTCACCCTAGCAATAGGTACGTGCAAAGTACGACAAATGGGAACGATGCTGATGTTGTTCGCCATAAACCCCTTGGTTCCGGAGAGTCAGAAGTTTGGCTCCAGTACTAACTCACTCTAGCTTCGGGGCTATATTACCTGTCAGAGCTCGTGGAGGAACACACCGTCCTTGCCCGTCGGTTACTATCCCGGCTGATATACAGTATAATCCTCGTTCATATGCTCCTTGTCGTGTTTGATCGGTTTCCTCTCGGCCTCTCAGCCCTTAGTATCGGCTCCCACCTTGTATATGCCAGCAACCTGCGCCGCTTCCCAGTCGTGAAATTATCCGATCCCCTCTTCATCTTGTCGTGTGTTCTCGTGGGTTTGAATCATTGGCTCTGGTTCCGTCACTTCTCACAGCCATTGCCCTCGACGCGAAGCCCAACAAGCTGGCGACACCCATATCAAGTCACCGTTGAGGATATGCCGACTTTCACTGAAGTGGCATCCTACTTTGGACTATGTGTTTGGTTAGTCCCTTTTGCGCTTTTCGTCAGTCTAAGTGCTGGGGAAAACGTTTTGCCTAGCATGGGTTCGGAGTATGTGACAGGGGAGCACGTTCCTGGCTCTGCATTCACTAGCGGCGCTTTGTCGTCAGATAGCAGGTCTAAGAATAAGGGGATGGCGAAAGCATTGGTGGATGGCTTCCGGAATTGGGTGAGTGAGAATGGGGAATTGATGGGATTTTGGAAAGGTGAACGGTCGAAGAGATTCTAGGTCTCTGATACATGTCTTCCTGCCCAACTTCCACATGCAATGTAAGTTGCACCTTGAGATATGGCACAAGTTGTTTCATCTAAGTTCATCATATGATAGAAGTGATCATGCAATCTCTTGAATAGAGGCTATGATCCGCTCATCGGCTTTCAATAGGAAGGAGTATGTTTGGTTAAGGCTAAACAAAGGAACGAGCTTGCAGTCTTCGAATGTGACAGGGGCATATATATTCTGCTGCAATGAGAAGACATGTATGGACAAGAGAAGGAGAAGCTGAGGAAGAGAAGCTGCGATGCATTCGGAACGTGTAAACACGACGGGCAGAAACCAAAAGATTTCCAATCGCAAGGCTGGGTGGTGTATACGGTCTCTGAACTTTGCTCTGTCGAATCTGAAGAATTGAGCAGATCGGTAAAATGTGCCATCCAAGTCAGTAGCAACAACCCATGAAGCTCTTTGTCTGGCTGGCTTCTAGGAAGTGTACAAAAAGCCATTCTCATATTATCATTATTATTAAACGTTTCGTTACCGTGCCTGTCAAGTAGTGTCAGGCTGAACATACGGGGCCATTTTGTATTCGTTCGACCACAAAGCTGGCCTTTAGAACAGAGACATGCTAGATTAATACCATGGAGAGAACCGAAAATCCAATGCCAAGCAACCAGCAAATGACAAAGCGGGAAATTCAAGGAAGAGGACGGAGGAAAGGCGTAAGGAGACGAGCCATGGAGCATCAAGCATGAGAAAGGTACCGAAGAGTATATAGACAGTGACCAGTCACGGACTGGGTGAGTAGGGTAGAATAGGCAGTGGAATTGGGTAGCATGCAGAGCCTGTCTCGCCGCGAGGCTGATCCCAACGCTCGGTGATTCCAGGTTTCGATTATGGGAATTAGTCATCTTGCACTGGAGGTGAAAAGGTATGGTTGTTGATATCCATAAACAGTAGAGAGCTTTCTCTCCTTTTGGACTTGGTAGACCGCGTGTTGTCAATATTCGGCGACAACAACTTGTTAGCGAGAGGCATGGTTGACCGATTCGATTGGGACACCTCGGACCTAGCATTACTACTGAATATCTCGTAGCTCTGCTGTGTGAAGCTGGACACACATTCTGATAGCATAGAAGCGTCCTGTGTAAAACCCGTTTGCTCCTGGTTCCCTGTCCGACCATGTTTGTGTATAGCAGTATCTGGCAGCACCTGATGGTAAGGGAAACGCGACTCTTCTGGAATGGTGGCATGACCATCACGAGACTCCAGTGATTCGTCACCGGAAAATGGTGGCTCATTGAAGATCTCTTCATAATCAGTGAGAAAAGTGGAGAAGACTGGCGCTGGTATATTGAGGGTGGGCGCGAACACAATGCCAACATTTCTGATCGTCATCTTATTGATGTCGGAATTGTTCACGATGATCATCAGAAACTGGGCCAATGCACGTAGCAAGGCAAGGTTTGGCTTGGGTAATCGGTGGACAAGGACGTTGAACGCTGCGATCTTCTGTTTCTTCTCTTGGAGTTCTAGATATATATCATGAGCAACGATCTCGAAGCTATAAGTTCGATAAGTACTCACCGAGGACTCGCAGGAAATCCAAGTGTAATTCACGGGTCAGAACGGTCGTGGGAAGCTCCCGGAGGTATTGTTTGAAAAGAGATGCAACAGCATGCACATCATGGTACTCGTCATCGGCCAGGAAATTCAAGTCGCCCTCATTATTGAAACGTTCCTTTAGGGCTTTCACAACGACATTGGAACCACTTAGACGGAAGATCCCCTCTTCCGACTCTGCACCCTTCGCTCTCAGATACTCTATGCAGCGATAAACCACAGCTGGTAATTCAACATCAAGGCCCTGAGGCGCGCAAAATTCCACGGCCTCGGCCAGGGCCAGACCGAAAACGGGCCTAACAGAGTCTCTTTTCTCGAATGTATTAAGCATTTGAGATGTTGAGCCATCATAGGCTGCCTGAAGCTGTGAGGCTAGATCCATCGATGATCTCGTGCGAAATCCCCATATGCTCCGTTTTTTCTCTTTGACACTTGTTGCGGTCTTGTTGCCCCAGGCCCCTGCGTCTTGTATCACAGCTCCGTTGGTAGGACCAGATATAATTTTTGCCGAGGATTGACCATAATCCTGACTGGCATCTTGACTGTCGGTCGATGACCCTGAAAAGACTACAGGGGATTTAGGGGCCTGCCTGTCCATGGAGGGTCCAATAACTGGAGGTTCGGCAGGAACAGCATCATCATAACTAAATCCCTGGACAATGTCGAGACCTTCCACATCCAAGTTCTCGAGACTCTTATTTCGTTTTTTGTAGCTTGTATTGGCAAACAGCCTAGATTTTGCAGGCGCGTTCGCAGCGGACTTCCCCACAGGCGTTTGGGCTTTCGAGGGCGTGCTATAAGTCCCACCTTTGTCCTCGCTTCGTGCGTCAACATACTCCAGGAGCGCGTCAACCCACGTATCCCTTTCTTCATCGCTCTCGGCGCACAAAACGTGACGAACAAGAGCCGTGGAATCTTTCTTCTTCGGCTCGAGTATGAGGAAGGCATGCCGGTACTGATTATCGGTGTCTTCCTCAACGCGGGAAGGAGAATCCGGCTGGCTACTTGAATTTTGAGACTGCTTGCCAATCTGGGCGTTGTAGATCCTAATGGTTCCCAAATGAGGGCCACCTGGCGACTCGAAGTACTTAAGTTCAGGGCCGTGCAGAACAAAGTATCTAGCTTTCCATCCACCAAAATTCTTTCCCCGCTTTGTCAAATAACCCTCTTTGCGAGGTTTGCCCTCCGGGTCTCGCCGTATCTCAATGCCACCTAGATTGTTGCCTTTGAGCAGGCTTGTCTCGTCGTCTCGAGCTTCTATGGCATCGGAAGTAAGGAATTGACATATAATCAACGCTGCCTTCTCATCCATTGGTGTATCAAAAAGTGTTTCAAAATAGGAGTTGAGCGCGGCACGTCTCGCATCGACTTTGGCAGGTGAGTGTCCGCTAAATATTGACCTATCTGGTAACCTGCCTCCCCAGAGGCCCAGCTGCCTCAAGTGTTGGTCAAGAAGAGGGAGAGCTGCGATAACCTTTTCGACGCGCCAGAGCTCTTCATTGCCAGACCTAGAGAACACACCTAAAGTGAAGACTGGCTCCTCTTCCAATGGCTTCGGAGCCAGGTAACTGTTTCGGGAGGGCCGCAGGCGTGAGGAAGAGACTTTCACATGAACCAGGGGCAGTGCGTTAGGAGGTAACAAGAGGTCTGGATAGTTTCCTGAGACAAGGCCTTGGTAAACTCCATTGCCTCTCCAAGGAGACTGAGATGCATCCGTCCTAACAGCTCCATCGATTGAGGGTAATTGTTGGCCGAGAGAGTCGACAAGAGCGGAACCATAGACAGCGCTATCATCTGTTGTATAAGGGCCTGCAGCAGATAGAGTTGGGTGGCTGGAAACGCGAGGAGACAGCGCTAGTCCAGAGAGTGTGCTCTCCGAAGATTTGGGCAAGGAATTTAGAGATGGGGGGATGTCTCTAGGTAAACGCGGCAAAGGGGATCCAAGAGGGCGATCTTCAGGCCTTGGACTTAATGGTAGCCCAGGACTCTTTGGGATGGCGATTGTAGGGTGACCTTTGAGTAACCTTGAACATGCCACTGGATGGCTCGAGTGGCGGGAATCTGCATGGTTGACAGGTTGTAATTGTTGATCTGCCGGTGGGCTGTGTGCTGTCTTATCCAAGCTTTTATGAGTCGTATCCTTGTCTGCTGCACAAAGCGCCTCCCGATTCTGGTCATCTTCGTCTCTCGTCCGTCTCCTGCCGCGGGTTGCCGGGAACTCCTCCACTGCCAAAATGTCCTCATACTCGGAGCCGGAATCGGAGTCTTCTACATTGTAAGAGGGTGTATGATCTGCTTGTCCGAGGTTGAGTGGCGCTGGAGGAGGCTTCCGAGATGGTTGAGACATTCTTCGTGACCTGTCGCTGCTGGGTCTACCATCATGCCCAACCGAGCCAGTGCTTGCAAGGTAGTCTTGGTTGATTGTGGACAACACTTGACGGAGGTCAGAGGACGATTGATGGCCGTGAGTTACAATACTTCGATCCGTATGCTGTTCAGGGGGTTCGACCGGCTCGAAAGTAGTTTGCTTGTCAATCGCAAGAACATCGTGCAAACGACTGTTGTTATGATGACCATCGAGACCTGCATCATTTACTAGGGCTGCCCGATCCTCCCATTGAGCCTCTTTAGAATTTTCTTGGCCGGACTTAGCGGCTTCATCAATCGCCTGCCGTGATGACAGAAATTCGCTCGTCGAATTTGGTAGCGGCGGTGGCAGACTTTGTAATTCCTTGACCTTCTTTCTGTATCGCTCCTTTTCCTTCGTAGCGCGTTCAAGATCTTTATTTAGTCCCAATATGAGCGTGCGCTGCTTGTCCACCAGCCTCCAGAGCTGAGAATTTTGTGATGCTGCATGATGCTTTTCTTTCAGAAGGTGTATGATAACAGCTTCAGCCGATCCCGCTGTAGTTATCAAATTTCCAATATCAGCCTGACTCAAAGCATTCGCGTCGAATGAAGATTTGTTAGTCTGTGAAGCAGATGACAGGGAGGATATCGCAGAGTCGATCGATGAAGTGCGCGGCATTGTACGTTGACCCTGTCGCCTCTCTGACATCGACTGTAAAGAGGTAACTGGCGACATTGAGGGAGGCGTCATCGGGGTATTTGGCTCGGTTGATCCTTGCATCTCGTGCGACTGGTTTTTGATCGATTGTCCGTTCATGTCCATATCATACTGTTTTGAATCATCCCCGACCACTCTCGCCGCTGCTTCGGAAAGGTTGAACGCTCTTGAGCCGCTATCGAAGCGAGAAGCCGGAGATGCTGCATGAGCACGGCAGGCAAGGTAAGAGGCACTTTCGGACGGGGCGACGTTTCGGAAGGATCAAGCCAACATTGAGATATGACGGGTAATGAGCAGCGAACGGTTCCAGCGCACTCGTCTGAATGCTTGATGCCGGTAGGGAATTGCGAAATAAGGATTGGAGCAGCCTCGGAGTGAAAGGTCCGCGGATCGATATCTGTATTTGGTTCTAAATAGTCGCGGAGACAAACTCAGTCTTTCGATGATTGAAAGTAGGGGAAAGGGGATGGAACGGACTGTAATTAGTGGGTGTTGTGACTGTTGTCACAGCCTTGCCGCCGACATTGGTTGTTGGGTGGGGAAGGAGAGACCAAGAGCAGGAAATAGGGGGGGGGGGTTACCTGAATAAGCACGAAGGTAGTCAGTCAACTTAGGTTTTCAAGGTTACGTTGCTAGTCGAGATTGCCCTTCATCATATAATGGTTCAGACTCGACTAACCATAAATACCCACATATTTAGTAAGTACTACGTACATAGTCTTCCAAGTACAGCATATTATATACAGGACCTGTGGGTGTTGAGAAAGGAAATTAATCGTGTCCAATGGGCGCTATAAGCATGATTGGACCCGGGCTAGACCTCCCGCTGGGTCAATCCACAGGTAGGTGCCCGTCCACTTGGGCCTTTGGCTGCTCTTATCGTAAAACTAGCAAACTAGTCTTGTTCTTTTGAATATGATCGTACAAGGAGCTTATCTTCCGCTTTCATATCTATCCTGTAGGTCATAAAGGAGCACTCGGTTGATGATTTGCTGGGCGCTTTGTGTACTTGTAAATAAACGAAACCATAGAGTATGGTGGATGCAGAGGAGAGAAAGAGAGAGGGAGAGGGAGAGAGATTTCTATTCTCGAGAGATTGAGTTTTGAGTTTGAGATCTGTGTTGGTAATGACCCCTTCCAAGAGGTTCGAACAGGAATTGCAACGTTGAAAGAACGCCCCATGTATGAAACCTTTGATCTAGATTGAACGCCTTTGTAGCAGTATCCCACTGCACCAATGAAAACGCCAACTAACCCTTGCAATAATAAAAACTCAGGCTATGTTTCCTGCCATGCCCATGAAGATGGCCTGGGCGGCTAGCTGAAGTGACCAGAAGCCTACTTTCTTGAAACGACGCTTCCGAGCTTGTTCATCCACAACATCCCGAGCGAAAGCATCGTAGACCTGATTGTTATTAGCATAGTATTTTAACCCGCTGTGATGTGAACTTACTGCCGCCGAAAGGTCGTCCATCAAGCCGCTATCAAACGTCGTCCAACTGCCGTCGAAATCACCGACCCGCTTGACAAGGCGACAATTTACAGGAATGAACGTGCGCCTTGAATTGATATATGCAACAATGGGGCGGATTAGTGCATTATTGATGTACGACAAATCCCGTGTGAACAGGGGGACCACTGCCCTAACATTGTTCAAGTGGAGACGTAGATCAGTAACCAGGAAACGCTTATCATGCTCAGAAGCGATATCGCTAGGTAGGGACTTGGACAATGCCGGGTCGTGGTGATTGTTCGAAGTGACGGTGGCCTCTAGCCGATCATAAAAGTCGGCCATAACCTTAGCAAGGCTTTCGTCGTTTTCGGCCGGAAACATGATATCGGCAACGATATCGACTGTACCCTCGTGTATCCAGGAGAAAGGTCCCTGGACACCACGGTTTAGATGGTCAATGTTGAGCCCGTCCACACGTATCCTGCTATGCTTTTTCCACGGGCTTGATTTGCCGTCCTCAGTGACACTGTCAAGCTGTGCACCGGTAAAGCCGTGTGTTTGACGAGGATGGATTGTAAAGAGTGAATTGTCAAATGATCCAGACATCATGTTGGCCGACATGAAGTCATATAGGAGCCACTGCTTTCTCAGTTGAGGCAAGTCGCAAGAGAAGATACTAACAGGGAAGGGCCTGAAACCGTCCGGCTGATAGACTGTCACCAACACGTCGCTCATTCTGAATGAGTCAATCTCAAAGTCCCCGGGGTGGTGTTCATGCCGGTACGATTTGAAATCCAGGTCATCATCCGACCAATGAACATAACGGCGGTCAATGACTCCCCTGATGCCTCTTACCTCAACATCGCGAAGCAGCCCCTTGCCGTTTATCCATTTGGTGAACGATAGGGTAACATTCACGGTTTCGATTGACACGTCGAATTGCGTATAATTCGTATCTTCCTCGTCCGACGGAGTTCGCTGATCGGGAAGCTCATGACTGGGTTCTCCTCCGAGAGCTGCAGCTGCGGCTACGGCCGCAGCGGTCTTCGACGATCCTTTAGTGACATTTCCTGTCCCTTGGCCTGGTCGCCTTGAGACGAAAACGTTCTTGAACGTGATCACGCCATCTCTCCATTTAGGAACAATAGCAGATTCAAACACAACCTTCACCCCGGATGACTTGGTTAAATAGTTACCTATCCACCCTGCTAATGTTTCTGTGCATATTTAGTGATGAAAAGATAACGGCAAAGGTACTAGGTGACAGACCTTGAGCGAAAACCGTGTTGATTGCGATAATAAGCAACGAAAAAAAAGTTGTTGTGCCCAATACAACCCAGACTACATGCCCTAGAAGCACCCAAGAGAAAAGAGCTGTGATCTCATCTAAGTTGAAAGGCCGAACGCTCCGTATTGAAAACCACTTGAACCGCACTTTGAGTCTGGACCAAAAGCCATTTGCCGCAGCCAGCAATTCTTCCTTTGAGGGTCGATGCAAATGAGGCATATGCGGCAAGCGGTTGACTAAATGGCGATTAGCATATAGCTTTTGGTGTGGATCATTCGAGGGTTGCAAGTAGTCGCGGCCTTGCGTGACTTCATGTTTGTCGCCTCCGTCGCCTCCGTCGCCTCTTAGCATAGGTTGAGTTATGCGAGTAGCACGAGTAGGTTCACAGTCATCTTTCCGGGGCTTCGTCTGATGGCTCTCATCATTGTGTGCATGTAGTCTGCGCTTCGACGCATTCTGAAAGGATTTCAAAAATGATTTGCGGTCAAGGTGATATGAGAATCTCTTTGGAGATTTGGTACATGTTGTACGAGTCTCCACTGCAGTTGAGCTTGGGGAAGCTCCGAGCACAAGACAACCCCCCCAGGCAAAGCTTCTCGTAGCCCTGTTGGAGATCTGAAAGTGGTGATATGATTTCTTTGCGGACGGGCATTGAGAGAAAAGTCTCGAAGAGAGACTGCCTGGATTCAGTGGTGTGCGACTGGCTTGCGATCCATGCCCGAGAAGCGGGTTTAGGATGGCGTACAGCCTGCGTGTGAAATAGCCAGACATTATCTACTTCCTCACATAATGAAAAATGAATGTTTTGCTAGAGGCGCAAGCCAGCAATCAGTAAGTGAATTGATAAATCCGAGGCGAAATGATAATGCACCAGTTCGCAAAGGCAGGAATTTGCCCATTGGGTCATTGATACTGTCTCCGGAGACACTAGTAACATTGAGGAAATACCAGAGTATTGAGGGTCACGTGTATTGCATATCCTGCTTATGCTATGCAATATTACAGCAGTCTGATTGGTGAACTGCTATCATATGAATAGATGTGCAGTAAGTTATACTGAACGATACTGCCAAGATTCGTATGGCTCTGAGTTCCTGTTTCCCCGAATTTTCTTCAGTCACATCACACATCACTAATTTAGTTTATTCGACTCGCCCTCACTTCACCGGGTTAAACAAAATCACAATGCCTGCACCCACTGCTATCAGGCAACCTGCCGCTGCCTCAGCGGCACCAGTCCCACCTGCGGCAGGTCAGTCATTATCTTGCCGACCAATGTCGCTTAATAATGCTAACAGCTTTTTCAGACCTAGATGAGGAGATCTTGATCGATGCCCAGCCTTCAGCTGATGGGGCTGCACCGGCGTTTAACTTTGCATCTGATCCAGCCCACGACGCTGATGTACATATTGATGAAGAGGGCCGGCCTGTTTTTACCCCGGCGAAAGACGTCCACCGCGTCCACCGAGTCGAAACCCGAAAAGTCCCAGTTCCACCGCATAGAATGACTCCACTGAAAGCTAGCTGGCCACGAGTGTACCCTCCGCTTGTTGAACATCTCAAATTGCAAGTGAGAATGAACATCAAGAATCGAGCAGTCGAACTTCGTACATCTCGATTTACGACTGATACAGAGGCCCTGCAAAAAGGTGAAGACTTCGTCAAGGCCTTCACGCTAGGGTTTGATGTCGATGATGCTATTGCACTGTTGAGATTAGACGATCTATACATCCGCTCTTTTGAGATCCGCGATATCAAAACTCTCAATGGAGAGCACCTCAGCCGTGCAATTGGACGCTGCGCTGGCAAAGATGGCCGAACCAAATTTGCAATAGAGAATGCCACCCGTACAAGGATTGTCATTGCAGACCAAAAAATCCACTTGCTAGGCGGCATTAAGAACGTCGAAGCTGCTCAGCAGGCCATTGTCAACCTGATCATGGGTAGCCCACCAGTAAGTACTCACATCCTTTCAGCACACAGCACCTGCTGACTTGTAAACAGGGAAAAGTGTATGGCAACCTTCGTAAAGTGGCTTCACGTATGAAGGAGCGCTTTTGATCAATTATACCTGACTCTCCTTTATTTTTATTCCATCTTGTTCTGTCCTATGACATGGTTTTGGCGTTGTGGAAAAGGTGATATCTGATTCAATAAAGTTCAATGAGACGATGACACAGCATTTACTTGAAATAGCCTTTATTCAGTATTCGTTCCAATACTCAGGATGCCGTCCACTTTTGCTATCCTTCGCAAGTCATACTGGAGCCAGAAGACACGCTTTCATTTAGTCCTTCTTCAGAGGATAGTAGATCTCCTCTATACCTCCGCTAGTAATAACCATCATCTGTAGACCATCACCAACTTCAATATGCCTCTCAACGGCACTTGTGAAAGCATCCCGTACGAGCTCCTCAACTGTATCTCTTGACAGTGGGTCTGCTTTCTTGGGCTCCAGAGCATGGCCTTCACCACTGCCAGGGATGTATTGATTTTTGAAATTAACCTGGTTGTCCAAGAATGGCATGATCAAGCTCGCTGCAGACCCAGCTGCTCTGCATTGTTCTCTCTCGTACGACCCTACTGGATCGTAGCTGTACAATGCACCTCTGCCATCCTCATCCAAGCCTGCTAGAATAGCATGCACGTAGTAGGGAAAGAACCGTTTCTGATAGAGTATCGTCGAGAGGCGCTGAGCACAAGCTCCGACGGACATTGACTTCCCATGCTGATACTTGTACATCTTTACCACAGCGTCTAGTCTTTCTTTGAGTGCTTGGCCATCCGCGGCGAAGCCCACGACCGACAGAAGAATGTGAGCACCCTCGCCAGTTTCATCATCACCTCCGATTTTGAAAACTTTCGGAACGTATCGAGAGTTGATGTTGTAGCCTGCAACGGAGCGAGTGTCACCAGCAAGGATAGCGAAGTCGGAGCCAGTGATGCCCAAGGTTGAACCGCCGTTGTCGGTGTACCTAGCTCTGTCTTAATTTTCGGTGATCGTAAGTCTAAAGAAGAGGGCCTTACGGGTAGAATGAATGCTCTTTGTTCGGAACACTCGTTGACTGAGTGAAGGAATATCCAATGGCTTCACCGTGAGGTTGACTGAGCAAAGTCGCCATTGCTCGTAACGAACAGAAAGTTGTTGAGAGAATGGAAGATAAAGGGGGATTGAAGGTAATGCTATGCAAAGTAGAAAGGTTATATGTATTCTTGCAGCACTTTCTATTACCGTCACGGCAAGCGGTAGATTCGGGAAGAAGGTTGGATGATGAAGGAATAGCTGAGGTTGGGCTGCTGACGCGATTGAGCTGCCTTGTGCTTATCTAAGAATTGTATCTTCCGTTCACCCTCCGTCATTATCTAAACTCATGATAACACCCTATAGAGGCAGTCCATTCCTTCCAGCTTGTATGCTTAATTGTGTTTTTACATGATTGCTCTAGTAGCTCAGAGCTACAGGTCTCTAAAAGAGTGGTACATGTGAAGAGATGTTGGGGCTTGCGGCCTATGGGAGCAGCAGTGAAGATGAAGCTGATTCCAATACAATTTCCACCAAGACTAAGGTAAAAAGAAAGAGCATCTTCCGTATGCGAATATTCACTGATGTACCTGGCTAGCAAGTAAAAAAGGGACATCTTACTGGGACCCCACAGGCAATTCAAAATCCAGGTGATTATGCGAAATCCTCCGTCATTCTAGGACTCTTTATGGTCTAATGAAATATGCTTGAAGCAGTACCTGAGAAAGAAACAATATTAGAGCATGTTTCCATGCCAGATTCTGACAGACCTGTTTTCGGTCCACCGCATGAGAGCCCTCACGATGCACGAAAATTCGCACCGAATCACTATATGACACTGTCGGCATCTCGTACTATAATTCATGATTTAACACTTCCTCCTGTTCCGAATTTAGACATCCCTCCATCACCTCCAAGCTCGCCTGACCCCTCCGCAGATGCAAAGTTTGCCCATTTTCTTTCTTTGAAGAAACAGGGTGTCCACTTCAACGAAAAGCTTTCGGGTTCTGTGTCCTTGAGAAATCCCAGTTTGTTGAAAGCGATGATGAACCATGCAGGAATTGGTAATCAGGAACAATATCAGGCTTCACTACCATCAGCAATATGGAATGCGCCAGGCTTACCAAGTTGGGGGTTCACGGAAGAAATCAGACAGGCACAACGAAACATCCAAGGTACGATGGAAGAGAGGAGGTCAGCACGACAACGAGAGGAGATTCCCTTTGTGGCTGCTACATCTTCCTTACCATAAGAACATCCACTTTTTCCAAACTCCTAAGGATGAAGACTCGCAACGTGCATAAAGCTGTAAAGTTGCAGCATTTGGCATAGAAAACAATGGAAAGATGGAATTACACGGGTATCTAGTGGCCATGCCAAAATCTCAGTCCATAGGTATCTGTGCATTTGAGTTTTCAAAGAGACGGGATCGAGATTTCGAACGATGGCCTACCAGAGGGTCGCAAACCAGTGCCATATGATTCACTGCTAGATCGTGATACTAAATAGTGAGAAGGATTCAACCATGAGGTCAATCAATATACCGATCCCTCAGGTAGGCTATGATACTCCGTTGGGATATCTTCTGCGGCATTTCATACGGTCTCTGCAGAACTCATGCTGGCACTTACAGTGGCTGGTAAAGCAGGGCATGTCAAACAAATTCGCGCGCCGGCTGCACCACATGCAGCTGCTCCAAGATAAAGCCGCGGTCTCCGGCGTGGGCGAGGCTGTGCAGGAGCGACAACCGGCAGATACTGTACATCAAGCGGCTGAGATCGATCCAGTCCGAGATATCTTGGGCATCGATTGAAGCGCCTTACAAAACGAACAAGACAGCGAGGTCCGCCCGAGCACCACAAAGTAGTTAGGCTAAAACCTGGAGCCCAGTATAAATTAGCAAGACCATGTGCCAGGTGCCTACGCTCATCAGTAGTACAACCCATAATACCCGTATGCTGTTGACTCTGGATTACGTAGCTAGGTACTGTACTTCTGCCGTAAGCCAGATCAAGAAGGCGGTGTGGTAGTAGATTGGGATTACGCCAAGGTAGCAACGCAACGACGCGGCCAAACCTACACTGGCCTATCTTATCCTCTGTTCAACTGCCTCAATTCTACCTCCAACACCCTTCACCAGCAGCATCACTTTCATCCGACTGCTTTCACCTTCAATCTTTCATCCTTCTATAACTCATTGTATTCATCATGAATCATTTTCCCGAAGCTTGGGGCCGGGTAAGAGCACTTCAGTTTCTGCTGCCTTTATCAAGCTAACCACATCCAGCCCCGGGACGACGTGTATGGCCCTTACAACCCTTCATACCTGCAGACTACCGGCCCCAAAACCCACACCCAGTCACCAGCAGTTACTGGGTCTTCGATATTGGGAATCAAATTCAACGGAGGATGTGTTCTCGCTAGTGATAACTTGGGTATAGTTTCAAACACCGCTGAAAGTGATAGAGTTGCTTGCCTAACATATTCTTCTTTGATTATAGCTTCATACGGATCTCTCGCTCGATTTACCGACGTCAAACGACTCCGTAAATTTGGTGACACTGCTGTCGTTGGCTTTAGTGGGGATATTTCCGACATGCAGTACATTGATCGTCTATTGGATTCCATTGACATCAGAGAAAACTATTCGGCCCACGGCAACACACTCAACGCCAAAAACCTCCACACCTACTTGTCTAAGGTCCTTTACAAGCGGCGATCTGAGTTCAATCCCCTCTGGAATCACATTTTAGTTGCCGGCTTCGATGATGACAAGAAGCCGTTCCTCAGCTCTGCGGATCTGTTGGGAACCACATTCTCCGCACCACATCTGGCAACTGGCTTTGGCGCCCACCTGGCTCTCCCAATCCTTCGCCGGCTATTTCCCGAGGAGAGACCTATCGAGGAGATCACTAAGGATGAGGCAGTCGCGGCGCTCCGTGAGTGCCTTAAGGTTCTCTGGTACCGCGACGCGCGAAGCCTTGACAAGTACACCATAGCAGTCATCACATCTCAGGGGATTGAGTTCCAGGAGGATCAGAAGGTCGAGGCTCAGAGCTGGGCATTCGCTGAAACCATCAAAGGTTACGGTGCTCAGGTTAACTAGCTCACTTGTTGATTTATGATGCATGAACTCGCTTCCAAAGCTTACTACATTTGCTCTCACTTGTGTAACAGGACCTTAGGAGCCGGAGATAGATCAAGTAATGTGAGAAGAAAGTGTCTCGTTGCGATTCTCTATAACATGCCGTTAAATCGCCTCGGGCATTGTGGGTGGCCTTAATGACGCTACTTTTACCTTGGTCCAGCAGGTGCTGACCTCAGGTGCAAGGGAGACCTTCATCAGATCGCCATCCTTTGGCCTTAACGCTCTCATGCCAACACCCGAGGCCCTATGTGTGGCATGTAGTCTTAGAGTGGCTGGAATGGAATATAGTCATTCGGAACGGCGAAAGATGTAACAGATTTATAGATGAGAACTGGAATTTGAGTGAAGGGAAATCCAATCAACTCGCAGGTTCCTCATATTTAAGGCCCAGACAGCGAGCAGTACTGATTCCCTCCAGCGCGAAGGGGCCTAGAAGCACTCCCACTTCAGCAATCTGGTTTGTAACATGAGCCTGCTGGTATGTCACCCTGAGTGACACGTTCTTATGTGACCTTTGCAACATCGTTTAAGCCGGCGGCATGAGATCATCGCCGTATCACGTGACCCCTCACATCTGTGAGGAAGAAATGAATGGGTACTCCGACGAATCGGCTGTTTAGCTAAGGATAGTGGCGCTCGGACTCTACCGGGATCTTGCCTGGTACTCAGTATGATACGAGACTGAGTACTCTAGGACTTACAGAGAATGTAGACATTGGGATAGGATTGTTTGTTTGGTGAACACAGAATTCTAGCAAGTATGGAGATTGCTTCATTATCCGCATGTATAGGTATCTGTGTATATGAGAATATATATGCATATCATAGTGCGGGGAAGGTTGCGGAGGGTCAGCGTTCTCGGTCGGGAAAAGGGCGGAGCACAGTCAGAATACGATAAGGTAAGCTGACCCCAGCTTCCTGATCATGGATCCGTGTCTGCATTACCAAGATAGATCCTTCACCATTACCATTGCTCCGCACTGTGTGACTCTCCCACTCACACAATTTCCGCAGAAGATCGCTGCACAGACTCAATGGCACGATTGTCAGGTCTTCAGCGGGAGGTTCTATCTCTTTATCGGAAATGTTTGAGAGAAATCCGAAAGAAGCCCGTTGTAAGTCAAAATAGACATCGAAGCAACAACGGTAATGGAAGAAGTGTCTGATATGGTCGATGCCCTCTCGGTAATAGGAAACCCGACAGAATTTCAAAATATACGCTAGGTGCATTGAGACCAAACCGCTTACTATACACTACTGATTATACAATAGAACCGAGTTTCAGAAGCACGTGGAAATCAGCAAAAAAGACTTCAATGCAATTGAATATCTGCTACGCAAAGGGCACCGACAGGTCGAGATGTATTCTTCACCGGGCATACGCAACATCCGCTAATCCATGCGGTGATGTTTGAATTCGGTGCAAGCGAAACGCTTATCTTGACCAACTTGTCAGCTCAAAGGCGCTTTACAGGGCAGTTGACCAGCAAGTGAGTGACTTGATTACGTCATCCAGGCTGGTTAACTACCTAAGTCAAGTTGCCTCCAGCCGCCTCCCGAAGCTTATGGAATCGTCCAGAGGGACCGAGTAGGAACGAATATGAGCTTTATCAACACTCCAGATAGTGCCAGAATTCTCGTGCTAGTTCTCGGTTTGGCACTTAGCTGCTGGATAACACGATGGGAGATGAAGTATATAGCTAGCACATTGGCAAGGAGTCTTTCTGATATCCATTCAATTTTTACAGAATCCGCAACAACAGTGAAGTCTTCTAGCTTCGCTCATCCGTCATTCTACTGAAGTCGATTAGTCATAAATTCTGCGAAGAATTGGCTCTACCACCCATACCCAATTTACCATGGCTTACTTTCCTCATTTCACCAATGATATCTCTCCTCTATTCCGGCTTCTAGATGACTATGACTGTCATCGCTCTAGCCGCGCGAAGATAACGCCGACAAAGAAACCCATATCGCTAAAATCAGATGTCTTCGAAACACACGATGCTTTTCATCTATCTGCAGAAGTACCTGGCGTTGAATCTAACGATATTCAAGTCGAGTTCTTGGACCCAAATACACTAGTGATAAAAGGTCATGTGAGGAGGCATAACGGGCAAACATTCGAGGAAGGACAAGATCAGACCCCCGTTGCCAAGTCTCATCACCAGCCAACCGTGGAGGATGAGAGTGAAGCGGATGACGCTACGACGTCCCGATCCTTGAAGAACTCATCGAAGCAACAACTAGTGACGCCAAAAAAGACCGAGTCTACCTGCAAATATTGGGTATCTGAGCGGTTGACCGGCGAATTCCACCGCATTTTTACATTTCCAGCGAGGGTGCAACAAGATTCGGTCAAAGCCAATCTCAGAAATGGTATCTTGTCGCTTTCAATACCGAAAGAACCTGCTCCGAAGGTGAAGAAAATCCGCATTGAATAGTCCATCGAGCATGGACGTTCCAATTCTGGACCATGGTGTCTTTCAGGTGTCGATATGCGCGGAAATCCTTCGGGCACCTCGCGCGGATGTGTGAGCCTTGACATGATTGTTTAGTAAGGAGTCTGGTTCTGTACTTCTTTGGGCATGTTTATGTCGGATCTACTTGAGGGTTTTTGTTGTTTTCCATATGCTATAGGGTACTTGTACAATGAGCAATAATCAAGCTTCTTGCAACTTATGAATTGAACCTTTTTTCCCTTCTCTCGTACGCGTAGGACATCAGTGCAGAAAAACTCCAAAGGGCCGTTGAGTCACACAATCAGGCAATTGTCCTCAAAGAATGAGGACGAGCGCCATGATGATGTATGGAAAGTGGTAATCTGATTTTCCGCACCAAGGACCTCCAGGTAAACTTATACATTTAGCAAGGAGGCATAAAATGAAAAATGTAAACGATCTGAAAAAGAAGAATGGCCGATCAGAAGAACGTAGAACTGTTCCCTGACTATTTTGACAGTCTTCCAGATCTGACAATCATTGAAACAGATAAGCTGTACATGTGTGCAAGAAAGACACGTGGTATAGGGTTGCTAGCATAGCCAAAGCAAAGCTCAACTCAGTTGAAGGAAGATGGTATCATAACAAAGACGGGTAACACGAAAATCAAGACAAAATATGATGTTTGGTAGCACAACAAAGAGAAGCGGAGCAGGAATTATAAAATAAAGAGGTATAGAGACCGAAGAGAAATGTCCATTCAAGATACATGGATGACATTGGGTTGATCAGGGAATGTAGTATCAAGCAATGGTGAGTGGACATCAACAACCTAAAACGCCGTGGGCGTTATAAATGCCTCGTCAGTCGGCGCCCCTGATGTTCGATAGTTCGACTTCGGGTCCGACCCCGCGGAAAGTCCGAGATCATAGCCCTCATGCTCTCTCCACATGGCTTCAACTTCTCTTCCGAAACTGGCAGATGATATGTGCTAGTGGTCGCTTTGGAAAGCCAAGAATCGCTAAGTGTGCTGCTTCTGCTACTGCTGCTGGCGCCACTCAGAGTCCCACAATCGCTTGTTGCGCCGACTTGAGAAGTTGATGTCGAGCTGCCTTCAGACAAGGATGGGCATGGCCTACTATCGTAATGCAAATTGCTGCCTGCGATTCCAGCAGGCAGGCGCAACGCGAAGTAAGAGTCAATGCTCGGATGAGACATGGTCCCCTTCCGAATGAGTGGAAGAGAGTCACAAATGTTGTCATTGCTCATGCCAGGATCAAGAAAAAAGTCCCTGTGCCCAGTCCGCTGAGGTATATTATCAGATGATCGTGGTATTATATTCGTCTTCAATCGCTGCTCTGAGTCAGTACTATCGAAGTTAGAAGAGACGCCTTCATAGCTCCGCAGCTGGCCACAGTGTTGTGGATATGACACTAAACTATCAAGATCACACGGGACTGTAAGTGATGTGCTCCTGGCACGCCTATGATGACGTCGTTGTTGTAACTCGTGACACATAGAAGACACAAAAGCTGGCTGGTCAGAAACCTCAAGTTCGCGGCGCCTGCTAGAAGCTTGGAGACTCAATTGTCGATGCATTCGAAGCTGCTTTTCTGTAGCTGGCAGATCTGTAAATCTTGAAGATTGAACGTTTCTGGCCCTATTACCAGACGTAGAACCAAACGATGGAGTAGCAGGCGCCGCAAGCACTTGAGAAGGCGACGGCCTCATAGCTTGATTATTCAGACAGGAATAAACATGTCCGCTATCAGCCATATGGTGCGAATAGCGAGACCCTCTGCGCTTACTCAACCTTGAGTAACCCTGCATTGACAAAGCATCTTTTCTATCACTTGGGGGCGCAGAGCCGCCTTGAGCGTTCGTTACTGAGATACACGGTCTCAATAAGTCTGGAACAGTGGGCGATCTCTCAAAAGAAAATGGACTTATCGGAACATCCTCGTTCTCTGCATAATCGGCACTATTGGGGATCTGTAAGGAGCACGTAGCTGGACTGCGCCTGGCGAAACTCTGCAGATGAGCCTGGGCGGTCGCCAACTCACCCCCAGCAACCTGTAAACAGGGTTCGGAAACAGTCATATTGTTCGGACTGATGTCGGTTCGATGAGGCAACAAGTCAGGTTGCTCATTATTATTCGAAGAAACCTGAGTCTTGATGCGTCGCAAGTCTGGTCGCCCAAGCTTGATGGACTCCTCTTCAGATGCACATCCTGAGTGCAGCCTCGGTGACGAACCTTCGGGGTATTTAAGTCTAGTTCGGTCACTGGGGCATGGAGATGTGGAGCCATTCACGACGCGTAATGATCCTAGTTTCAGTGCTCCTAGATGTGTGTACTCGAGTTCATTCGGAGTAGGAGGGCGTAACTGCCCCGATGGAATACCAGGTCTGATCGTGCTCTCTTCATTGTGAGTTGCGAATTGTTCGTGCACCTGATATGACACATTTGAGTTGTTGGTGAGATGGCGATTCCCCTGGTCAAGCATTTGAGGCTGTCTTCGAGCCGGGTCTCTGGTCGATCGTCGTGTCGCAACCCCAGGCCGCGTCAATAGAGACCGTCGGCGGATCAGAGAGAACCCTTGACTGTCGACCATGAAGTGCGTGTTGGAAGACTTCGCTTCTTCGATAGTACTGCGGCTAATAGCACTATGCGTTCTTTGAGGTGGCGAAGTGGTCGAATAGGATCGTTTGGGGCGCTGGTCAATTGGTGATTGCGGAGAGGCTCGAAAGTCGGCGGACCGAACGGTACCTTGTCCGGAGGGCTGGAGAGATGCTCGCCTATCCACAGCAGAGGGCTCCACAGTAGCGACAGTGGGCGAGCGCAAAACCATGCCCTGTGACTCTCTGGCTATAGCCTGGCATTTTCGGGGTGCATTGACGGAAGGCCACGGCGTTCTGGGATGAGAAGTCACAGAAGGGAGAGAATGTGATCTTCGTCCGCTCGAAGCCGGATTATGCGTGTTGATGGGTATGGATGCCCCTGTCCAGGGATTTTGCCATGCAGCTGCGGGATGCAAGCACGCAGACGAACCACCAACAGAAGACTGATGTTGATGAGATACGGAGGTGACCGATTCCACGGTTGCTTGTTTCGGAGGTGGTTTTGACAAGCGTCTCGAGCGGCGGGGGCGCTTGTCCTTACTCTGGTGGACTGACACTGACAAAAAGCTTCCCATTTCCAGACAAGTAGGAAGCTCGTTGCTTGACGGCCGACAGGCTCAGGTACCCTTCCAAATCAGTGATAAAAGCACAGGCACGGCATAAGCGGGCGTGCAGAATCGGCAATGAAGTGATATGAGCACAGACGTCGCCAGCCAAGCTTGAAGCGCTAGGCTCCTTGTCACGAAAACACCCGCGTGGGAACCCAGACTTAATCCTCCACTTCAGCTGCAAATCACGAGAAGAGCTATCGGAGGCGTGGCAAGTAGATAGTGAAAGGCCGAAACTGGACCGTGTGTGCTTGTTGTTTCACAATGTGGGCAGCCGACACTAGATTCAACAATGGGGTCGATAAATGGCCCCAGGCATACATAGACAAGACGGACAAGAGAGGTACGAAATGTCGCCGTAATCGCAACCGCGGTGATATGCTCTAGCTATGCCCTGGCCTCCCGTTTTCTTCTGTATTAGTTATGGAAGGTAAAGCGCCACCACCAAGAGATCGGTATTGTAGAGTTGAAAATGAGGTTAGATAATTGGTTGTCTGTCGTGAGCGACGTGTGATATAGGTAAGAATGGTTGATTGCCCTGTTGCTCTTGGCCTGTCGGAATCCTGGACGGCCAGGGCCACCAAACAGTTCTGAATTGAAAGGTTAAATAACCAATAATAAAAAAAGACCCAGAAAGTAAGTGAACAAGTGGTGATGAACTAGTAAATTAGGATTGAACGGATTATTGACTAGAGCCCCCGGAACCCTAAGTAAATTGACACAGATTCAAATTGACCGGGGGAGAAGAAGGGAGGGGGGGAGGGGGAAGAAGTGGGTAAGAGAAACGGAGGAAGGAGATAAATCAGATCCAGCCCAACGGACAGCCACATAGATTAAGGATTAGAATCCGAGGTAGATAAGCAAGGGAAATGAAATACATAAGAGAGGTGGAGCTCCACTGGTTCTGCCATGGTTGAGGGGGAGGCACACAACAAGACACACTGTGGTAATGACGATAGAAGACGGATGCGTATGGAGACGAACGGATCGACAGCTTGCAGACGGCTGACGGTCGGAACACAAACCAGCTAGATGACACGACCGCTATTCTTCATTCTTCAATTAGCCACTCAGTTGCGTTTATCTACTAGACTCCATAAATTTACAAGAGTCTACCGGTATGATTGTCAACCTCTTTCCACTACGAGGGGCTCTTGGCCCTGGACTACTATAGAGATCAGCATACGAGCGCTGGGAATCAAACACCCAAAGGAAGTGGTAAATGTTGTTCTGTAAAGAGGAAAGTTGCATGAAAGGCCGAAGGGCAACCCCGACGAATGCGGACAAAGAAAGTGGCACGTTGAGGGGGAACGTATCCTGTCAGAAAGGGAAGAAAGCTCCCTTTTGTGTAGTCAGACTAGTAGGGTAATACTACCTGGTAGCGTATAATACTGTACAATTAAGTACTGTATACTGTACCTGGTGACTTCTACAGTACGTACTGTGCTGTACCTATCACTTAATTAGCTAAGGCAGTGCTCAGTGCAATAATTAGTCTGGTCTACGTATCTTAAAGTACTGTACAAAGCAGTACATATTATGTCTTGTATGTACACAGAGATTTGGCAAATGGATCGTCAGGACCAGGGGGCACTTACCTAGTAGTTGGACTTAGGACCAGCTGTGGATCATCTCAGGGGAAAAAGCTTGTCGGTTTACAGAGATGGCGCCCTATGATTGGCAAACTCTTTGCTCACCCTGGCCGCATTCAGTGGTGCCAGGCCCCGGGGGGGGGGGGGGGCGGAGGGGAGGGGAAGGACCTGGGCAACTTAATCCGTTTGTCGAATGCTGACTTGTCTCATTCCTAGTTCCGGTTTGCGCCAAGTTAATGTGCATTGTGAGCGAATTAAGTGGTTGCAAAGAGGAACCATGAAGGGTTTTCATTATTATTCTGTCATATGTATGGAGTACTCTGTACAAACCGGTACAGTACCGAGTACAGAAGTTACCATGTGAAAGTAGTTATACACAACCCTTTGCTAGTCAATCCTTGACTGACTTTTGCCCCTAAAGACCAACTTATATACTCAGTACTGCGTAGTTACAGCACACCATCCATCAACCATAACTGCAGTGCCTAGTCACCTGTCCCACTTTAGTAAGAAACTAAATCAGTCAAATAATTGAAGGCGTACTCGAGCTCACCCTGACTTGTATAAAAAAATTCAGGTGTAATACTATAGTCTAGAAGATCAAACTAGTCTGTCCAGGTATACGTCATGGAGTAGTTACCGGCAGTTTGTGGATGAATGAGGTCTTGACACTTGAAATTGCTGGCAGTGGATCTCCAGGCTCTCTCTCTCTCCTTACCGCTTTAGAAGCTTTGGGGGCCCGCTCCTTGAAATCCTTCGAATGAAAACGGCGTTTATAAGAACGGCGTTCATAAGCCCAACTTCTTGCGCATCCCCAAAATCTTCTGCGATCCTGTCGGTCAGTAGTCGGATTACACCGCGTCTTCACTTGTCGCATGGAGCTTTCAGCTTCCAGCCAGCATCCGGCCTTGGCGATCTTTCCTTTGCTCACGGACAAAGAGTTCGATTCTGCCTGTCACCAATTCCTCGATCGGGTTCACGTGGCAAATGAGTCGTTGATGGGGCGGCTGACTGTTCAATATGCTCAACGGGTTAGTTTCTGGTGGCTCTCACTCTTCCCTCCACGTATCTTGCGACACTTCTCGCTGCCAGTCCCTTATGAATTATCATATACCAAAAAGGTTTATATTCAAATCATACATCATGGAAGGATACCTTTCCCATTAGCGCCACAAGTGGAGGGTCATAGTTATGGGATGTGCACTTCAACTTAAGGGCTCTGCAACTATTGAATCCATGCTCCTGTACTCTGTGGTTGCCATGTAACAGCGAGCTAACTTACTAGGCACTTGGTCCGATTTTGAGCATAACACGGCGGATCCCTCACGTCAGTATCCCCGCATACGATACTCAATCCTCGGCAGACGACCCGATCCGAGAACGGTATACAGAGGCTTACGAAGATGACCCTGTCCGTGAAATATCCAATGTCATTGTGATTGATTTGAAACAAAGCGACATCTAACACGCGATGAACAGGAAGCTCTCATCCGTACACCCGAGCCCAGCGTCGGCTTACACGTAGTTTATGACGTCCTTCTTTCGCCCACCTACCAAGTCCCCGTCCTGTATTTCAATTTACGGCCGACTGATCATCCCGGACCGTTGGGGATCGACGCAGTTTACCGATATTTGGTACCGAGCCAATACAGAGAGGAACTCCAAAGCGTGGGTGTCATGGGTGGGATTAGTCTGGGCGTATGTGCAAGTATTCAGAACCCTAGCTCAAGTCAGAGCTTATAATTTGTAGTATCATCCAGAATCCGGAACTCCAGCATTCTTCGTCCACCCGTGCAACACTGCGGATGTTATGAGGCAAATCGCAGGACACCGGCGTGTCAACCCCGAGACGTATCTCATTATTTGGCTCGGATTAGTCGGAAATCGTTTGGGTCTTCAGCTGCCAAGGGATCTCTTCGCGACAGATGAGATGCGAGGGAATACGAGGTCTTGAAATCTCGCAGATTCAGCTTTCAGAGCACTTCTAGACTGACATGTCCCCGGAACTCCGTCGACCAACAGAGACCAGGAGCGCATATGCCTTGGGGCACTATTTGGGGACTTAGTCTTCGTCGGAGGATGCTTCCATAGGAACATCACTATCTTCATCCATGGGAGCATCCTCTTCGTCACTTTCTTCCTCACGCGGCCTTTTTAACCCGTGAGCTGTCGGCTCCTCCCCGTTGACCTCCCCGTTGACCTCCCCAGTATGTTTCGTGGGCAGTGTTGCTGACCCAGGAGGTCCGCTAAAGATTGACTTTTGCAGCTCAGTAGACGCCGCCACAGCTTGCCCACCGGAGGTAGTGACCGACAGGTTATAGGTTCCACGAAGTCTAGCGATAACGTCTGAAGTGCCTTTGGCATACATAATTTTCTGCATTGGCCCTTACGTTAGCAAGCAAAGAATAACAGTCATGGGCGTAAATTTTACCATTTGTTTGCCAAAGAACTCGAACCCCTGGAGAGCGCGCATGGCTTGCGTACTAGCTTGGACATCCTTGAACACAATATGAGCCTGGCCACGCATTTTGTCGGTTTTCATAGCGACAACATCCAGAACAGTGCCGTATGTGGAGAAAAGCATGTAGAGGGACAGTCGCAAATCATGTTTCCGAAGTTTATCCGGTAGATTCGTACAATATAAACTATGAAGAATTAGCTCTGTGGTCTCGTATATGAGTGGCAGGTAATCTCACGTTTGATTAGGGAGGCCACTCAAAGGCGATTTACTTTGAGCGCCGCCGCGTGCAGGTATGATTTTCGTACTCATTATCGACAGGTAGTGATTAATTGGAGAAGGAAAGGTGGGACTTGTTAAACTGGAAAGAAAACAGTATGCAATTGAGCTCAAGAAGGACATTGAAAACCAAGGAGAATAAAGTCTGCGCAGCCAGTAACACCTGAACAACTGAGCGATCTGGGGTCATGTGATATATTATCTAATCGGACCGGTCCTCCGCGTCATCGTTAGGCATATCCGTGAAGTACACATGTCCCGTAATTGACCGTTCATCCCTTCTCCCCCACTTTCTCTCACTCCACGTACATACTCCTCTCCTGAGCTATCACCAGCTACCTAATCTCTTCGACAGTAGAGAGCTCCTCCTGTCATTATCGTTACAATGGCTGCTCCTGAAATTCATCATCTCTTCCATAATCCGATCGCCGACCATTCTTTCTCTCCCGACAAATCAACACTCGCGGTTGCGCGAGATAGCAATGTGGAGCTCTACCAAAAATCAGGTGCCAAGTTCTCACTGACTGATGAGCTCAAAGGCCACGAGAAGACTGTGACCGGCGTGGACATTGCTCCTAATAGTGGCCGTATTGTTACTTGCTCACAGGGTATCTCGTCTCCCCTTTCTTGTGTTCTACTTCGGCACTAGTCTAACACCGTGAAATAACACAGATCGAAATGCATACGTATGGGAGCGCACTTCATCGGGCTGGAAGCCAACTCTCGTATTACTCCGCATTAACCGAGCAGCAACTTTCGTTAGATGGTCGCCATCGGAGCAGAAGTTCGCCGTTGGTTCAGGTGCCCGTGTAATCGCTGTGTGTTATTTCGAAGAGGAGAACGACTGGTGGATCTCAAAGCACTTGAAGAAACCGATTCGGAGCACTATTACAACGCTCGCATGGCATCCGAATTCGGTGCTTTTGGCTGCAGGCTCCACCGACTCTCATGCCAGAGTCTTCTCTAGCTTCATCAAAGGCGTCGATACACGTCCGGAGCCGAGTGCCTGGGGAGAGCGTCTGCCTTTTAACACCATTTGCGGCGAGTTTTTGAATGACTCCGCTGGCTGGATCCATGGAGTCTCATTTTCTCCCAGTGGAAACGCCCTCGCATTTACTGGCCATGATAGCAGCGTCACTGTCGTTTACCCGAGTGCCCCAGAACAGCCCCCTCGAGCGATGCTGAACGTCACTACTCGTTTACTGCCATTCACAAGTCTCATTTGGAATGGAGAGAACGAAATCATCGCCGCCGGTCACGTAAGACATTGTGACATCTCGCGGGATTTGCATGACTTCAAAGCTAACTCGCCGATTTAGGATTGTGAACCTTACCGTCTTCGCGGCGGCGAGAGTGGATGGCAGCTTACAGGGACCATAGAGAACAATACAGGGCCAGGTGCCGGTACCGCGCGGGAAGAATCCGCTCTGCACATGTTCCGTCAGATGGATCTCAAGGGACAGACTCAGGCTGATATTCAACTCAAGTCAACCCACCAGAATACCATCAGTACCGTGAGGGTGTATGAGGAGACCGATGGTGTTCTGCGCAAATTCAGCAGTGAGATTCTACCACTTGATTTGACCCTCGTCTGTAGGAGCCTTACTAACTTTTATGGATTGCAGCGAGTGGGGTTGATGGCCGTGTCGTTGTCTGGACCATATAGACGGTTCCACTTTGTCAACACGTTTGATGATGCATTGTTCGTGAAGGACCAGATGCCTTGGCTTAGTACTCTGTTGCCCCGTCTTCGGAACCTATTTGAATTGTGTGACAAGGGGCGCTTGTCGCTTTAGAAACACCTTGGAGTACATAGAATCTGGTTGGTTGTGCCGGACGTAGATTGTGCAAATAAATAAAAGCTTGTACTGTACTGGGTATTGGGCCGCGGAACGTAGTACAGTATAGTATGTAAGTTACTGTAAACCCTTGAAACTATGGATCCACCCTGGTCGTAATTTCCCCCGGATTTTTCGACGTCACGCCTCGCCGCTCGTCACGAGCCATTATTTCAAACAAGTACGACCACGACGGCTTCCCAGATCGCTGCATCATGAATGATAGATGGCAATGATTCTGAGATCTAAGACTGAAACTCTATCATGGCTGTAAACTCAAGTCGTCGGGACATCTTCTACATTCTTCTCGCTTTAGCCTCTGTATCACTTGTCTTGCTTGTCCGCCACACAGTCTCTTCCGCCGAACTTGATCGGATCTCGCCCAGTGAAGCTCAGCGGTCGATTCCCAACAGCCTTTTTCATGAACTGGATCAGCTCGCACGCGTGGTTGATGTCTCTTACTGTGTCGGCAACACCGGGCTCCGAAGACCATTTGAGTGTCTCAGTCACTGCGCCGACCTGGAAGGGTTCGAGTTGATATCAGTAGGTGCCTCGTGTCTGATGCGGCGAAGAAGTTGGCCTATTTCTAAATCCGCGCACCCTAATAGGTATGGAATACAGGACCTTTACTGTCGGACTCCTGCGGTTATATCGCCCTTTCTCATCCGCCGTCACCAAAGAGGATCATCGTCGCTTTTCGTGGCACCTATTCGATCGCAAACACCATAATCGATCTCTCCGCTTATCCGCAAAGCTACGTCCCGTACGACCCGGGAAACGACACTGGTAATGAATCGGGGACGCTCCATTGTGAAGAGTGCACTGTCCATGCAGGGTTCATGTCGTCATGGCAGAACGCACGCTCGGTCGTCCTGGGCTATGTCTCTGCCGCAAGGCTACGATATCCTGACTACGACCTGTCTCTAGTTGGCCACTCCCTAGGCGGAGCGGTCGCTGCCCTAGCTGGTGTGGAGATGCAGCTACGGGGCTGGAAACCAACGGTGACGACATTCGGAGAACCGAAGGTTGGAAACCAGGGTTTTGCCGAGTATCTTGCCAGGTTGTTTGAACTACCAAGGGGAGCGGCATCTGCTCCCGTCGAACGTTACAGATTTCACCGGGTTACCCATATTAACGATCCTGTTCCGCTCTTGCCACTTGCGGAATGGGGCTACGAAATGCATGCGGGAGAGCTCTTTATCGCGAAAGAAGACCTTCCACCATTAGTGTCTGATGTCAAGGTCTGCGAGGGTAACAAGGACGAACGATGCATATCCGGTGCGGACCACACTTTGAGGCTCGCACTTCGCGAAACGCCCACCCTTCTCGTACGACCACAGAGTGTCGATGCGCCTCCTGATTCGAAGGAACAACAGGCGCCGATGCATGTGTCTTCGCTTGAAGGTTATATCCTAAAATCGCAGGATAAGGGACAGTTTCGCAATGAAACATGGCGAAGATTCCACTGGCATTCGAACCCATCACGTTTGCATTCATGGGAGTTATTCTTCTCTCATCGAGACTACTTCTGGCGACTGGGGCTTTGTATCCCGGGGGGTGACCCAACTGGCAAAGGGTGATAACCGATCGATATCGCTTGGGATAAAAGCCAGTTCGTATGTGATTCTTTGCGTATGCTCTATTTGTCAGGAAACAAACCTATGATGGTCGTGAGAACTGACTACATTGAGCGATCTTACTGTTCTCTCAAATCGTGTCTCGTGCAGCAGGTTAGTCGTAGTTGAACCTCGAGACTATAGTACATCACCATACTTCAGAGTTGAAGAAAGAATAAGAAACTCTGCACGTCAATTGAGTGCTGGCCAATGCAAGGATGGCCAAGCGGAAGGCCACGCCCGTAGGCTTCTGCAACCTCCTGCCTGTTATGAGTAAAATGACATCTTTTTAGCAGCGGCCTTGGTGAGACTCTTCTGTGTCTTCTACAGCAGGGGAGACCTTTTTTGTTGTAAAAAGCCCAATGACGCCACCATTCTCGAACCGGGAGTATGCAACGTGGTCTACTGTATCACTACTCATCATACCTTTAAGCCATCGTCGTAGAGAATGAGGAGGGACGCGGGGGGTGAGGGTGGGAAGGGCTGTTGATTCTAGCTCTCTCTAGCCCATGCGTAGCCAGAGCTATGAGCTTCCTGCTTTCGCATTTGCTTAATCCCATCATGTTATCGTCTTGGAGATCCTTCTCCCCTTTATGATATCACCACAGCATGGTTGATACCTCATTTGAAGGCGTGAGATAGTGAGTGTTTAATTAATGTATGTGGTTTCAGTGAATCAACATCCCTTGTGAAGCACCATATGCTTGGTTTTTTGGTATCGAATCTACCCAGTGGCCTACCGGACTGTTTAACATAGGATGCCTGGCTAAATAGAATTTATTCTACTTTGACCAGTAGTCGATTATCTGAAAGGTAGGAGATAACACGACATTTCCAAGGCAGGAATGTGCCGGTGCCCCGTTAAGACAATACCTACTATAGCTGGCCTCATGGTCCAGCACTCTTGTTGAAGCTGCGGCTTAGCAGCATTGCAGGGATAATGTGTATGACGTGACATTATTATACAAGATACAATGCTAATGGCAGAACAAAGTACATGCTGAAGCATCCTCCGAGCAGATATTGGTTACTACTAATCTGAACTATGCCACGCAAATAGAAACATTATAGCCAGACCTTGTCTTCCATCAAAGGTCCGTATGTAGTTAGGATTTGGGAGAAAAGGGTAGAAGGGTGGCGTTGAGAGAAATATAGATTCCTCCTCCGGTTCACTTTCCAGGTTCCAGGCTAGGGACAATTACCGGTCCATATTTCACAACCGTCCCAAAAGTTCCATCTCCCTGAACCATGAAATCCGCAGCAAGGTTTAATCTGCCACTTCCAGGGTTCGAAATAGCTTGCCCATACATCGTGTTCACAGCATCCGGATCATAAGCAACGATAGCCACATAATTTCGACGGCCCATCAGCTTGCGGTGCTCACGACTTTGTCCTGTCACGTCGGATTGGAAGATCTCCATCATATCTTCTTTAGTGTCAGTTGGCTGTGATGGCGTCGAGCGATGGCCGTTGGCGGGAATATAGAGGGGCTTATTGTTGCTGTGAAGCATTTTCATGACATATGAGGGCGGGGGACTGTTCACAACCGGCGAGGAGATTAGTTGGTACATTGTTTTAT